TTTTTTTTTTTTGTTTTTTTTTTGTGTGCGTGTGTGTGCACGCTGGTGTTGCGCGGTCTCTTTTGGGTTCCTCTGCTGTTGTGGTTCGATTACTGATAGGATGCTTCTTCTCCAAGACACTCTCGAAACTTGTGATTTGATCACAGACAGCTTTTGATGCTTGAAGTACATGTTCATTCCACAAGAAGCCTGAGCCCTACCCGAAAGCCCAACTCGAAGCCCGTTCCAGGCCAAGTCTGCGAGAGCACGCAGAGTGGCGGCGCGAAGCACCCCGCAGGAACTCCTTGCGAGGAAGCCCGAGACTTGTAATCCTCATCCTACAAGCCTTATGCTGTAAGACTCTAGACCCAAAAAAGCCGGGACCACAGGATGTCTTCTTAAGCCTACGCAGAAGCACTGGGGCCTTGAAGCGCCTTAAGCCTGGGAGCCCAGGTATGACCCAAGCACGGATGGTCACCACTGCGGCTGGCAGGGGCCGGAGGACATGAACGGAGAGTCCAGGCCGGGATACGTTCTTCCGACAGGTTCCGCAGAAGAGTTATGGCAGATTAAATACATCCCGTGGGATTGCAGGAGGGCGTTTCTTGAGGAAGCAGAAGGGCTTGGGGCGGCTGGCTTGCAAAACCGCCACAGCCTGCAGGTGCGGTCAGGCAGGTGACTCTGGAACCTACCGTTTCTGCCCCTGCATCGGAGACAAGGAGCTCTAATCGGTGGAGTCGCAGGCCCGGGTCCCGAAAGGGAGGGCCTCTTGCCGCTTCGTTTCAAAGGCCTTTCTTTGGCTTTGAGGATCCTGTTTTTGAGCTGCCGAACAGAGCAATGCGATTCCTTGTCAAGAAAGACCAACATCGATGCCGCCGACAGCGGCTGCAGACTGAAGCGGGAACAGCCGAGAGCCCTCATCCATCCAGACTTTCCAACAGAATCAACGACGATGAGCTCAAGCTCCCTGATTCTCGCTCATGAGTTCCATTATGTGACCATAGCACATACAGTCATAGAGCGAGTCATCTGCGTTCTTTAGTATGTCAACTTCAATTCGGCTCCTGGACAAGACCCCAAAGCAGCCAGGCTCCGATGGCTGAAGCCAGGGCCGCAGTGAGATCGAGGTCGTCCTCCAGCGCAGGAAGCCGCTGGGGACCGTTTCCAGCAATTCGTTCCAACCCCCGCGCAAACACCGACCCGGGTCTAACCTCTGGCTCTTCTACCTATCCGAGTGCGTTGCAGATTTTGGGACCCGCGACTTGATCAAAGACAGCTTGCTACATTTGAGCTGCAGGGTTCCCTTCAAGAGAGCCGCGCTGATCAGCCTCGAAGCCACGCCGGACCCCTACCTAAGCAGAACCCCTGCAGTCGAGCCCGCGCGCACCCGAGAAACCGCGTGTGGGAGTTTTGACTAGGACCTAGGACTAGACCCCACGAGCTAGTTGAGGTTCCCAAAAAGCTGGGAGCCCATGCAAAGACTGCCCTTTGGAGGGCAAGCGTTGAGGCCGCGCTGCCGGGAAAGAAGCTGGAAGCGTCTGCCTTTAGAGGGCTGATCCTCAGCAAGGGAATCACATGGAAAGAGGAAGACCCCCGCCGTCATACCTTCTCCGCAGCCTGGCTCAAGCAAGGAGGCGAAGAAACAAGAAAGCAGCAGAAAGCGGGGTTTTGGACGGGTCGCCAAAGAGCCAAAGCGTCTCGTCAAGGCTTTGGTCAAGCCGAGGTCACCTCAGAGACAGCACCGAGAGTTACAGTCACACACAGACACAAGAACACACAAAAACACACAAACATACGTACACCATGTCATGGAAGCTGAGAAGCCCCCACAAGCCAACGCATCCGAAAGGCTTCTGGATGCAAGCATCCGAGTTTTTCAGAGACTTCCGTGGAATCTCTGCCAGCGGCCTCCACGGCCTTTTTTGCCAAGATGGGCCTGCTTCGTTCGGAGCCGATGAAGCATGGGACCCTGGTGGTGCCAGTGGAGCGCGCCAGGGAATTCATAGACCTGATCGGCGCCGAGCTTAGGAACGCGGTCTGTTCTGCTCCCAGTTGTGCTTTTTGGTGTTTTACCGCTTGCTTGCGAAGCTACAAAGGCAAGAATACCAAGATGCAGTTCGAGGATATGAACGTCCGAGATATGCACAGACCCTACAAGAAGCCCCTGGGAACGCATCTCGCGTCAGAAGCTTTGGGGCTCCATGGCCATCATCTGCAAAACAGCAGTTCTTTCGAGGTACATCCAGCGAATTGATGAGATGGAGCGGATCATTCGATTTCTTTTGGAGGAGTTGACACGAGTTCCCTGGCACTGCCTTCGTCGCCTGTAAGCCAGGTTCGGTAGAAAAGGGACCCCAAAAAATCCCAAAAAGGGACCCTAATTTAGAGAACTACCCATATGGGAATGTGGGCATCATGTCAAGCGAACCGAAAGCCACCCGAAAGCACCAGGGCTTCCACGAGCGTCAGGTTCCCGGGGCCGAAGTGGTCAAGAACAACGTCGACGCCTTCCTGGAGCGGGAAAAAAAGCTGCCAAGTTGAGAGTCAAGTCGAGGGCATCGCTCCTCGGGATGGAGAGCTTTTATGGGGGTGGAGTCTGTTTGGAGGGGTTTTGGTGCCTTGAAGGACCCCAAAAAAAAAAAGCTTCGAAGGGCCAACCCTCAGACTTCATCCCGTTAAAACCCCTCAAAACTGAAGCTCCAGGGGGGGGCCCTGAGAGCCCTTCACAGCTTTGCCAGGACCACTCGGACTCCTACAAGTTGGACGAGGTGGAGTCTGAGCTCCTGAAAATCCACAAGGCCGGGCCCAAAAAAGGGCCCCGCGCTCTGCTGTCGTTCTCCGTTTTGGGGAGGAGGAGTTCTCGGGCTTTGAGAGTGGAGGAGTCTTTGAGTTTGAGGCTTAGGCTTTCGGGGGAACAAATTCCCCAGACTCCCGTCTTTTTCTCGGAAACTCAGAAGAAAAAAAAGCAAGGACCCAGTTGGACTCCTGGATCCCTGGTGAGGTGTTCGCCTCAAAATAGGGCAGGGTTTTTGCTGCCTGGGGTTTAGGGTCGCAGTTTGGGGCCTTTGGGGCAGGACTTCAGCTGGCGAGTCCGTAACGGAGTCCCAGACATGGAGCCCTGTAAAAAAACAAAAACTGGCCGTATCTTGACCTCGTCCATGGAAGAAGTGCCTTTGCAAAGCGTCTTTTGAGGTTAGGTTTGTGTTAAGGCAAGGCCTGGGCAGGAGCCAAAGTGCTGAAGCAGAGCATCTCCAGTTA